GAGCTTTGGGGGTTGTTTTCTCAGCAAAATCTAGCTTATCTTGGCTGATCTATAGATAATCAATAACTGTAATATGCTATTATGTTCGCAAAACTGTGACTTTTCCCTACCCTATCCTCCAGCGTGTCGAAGACACAGCATATTTAAGGAAGAAAATTCAATCCAGGCATGAATTACTCATCAATCTCTTGAACATTTAAAGGCATCTAATTTAGTTCACGGGAACTCTTATTAAAATCTTGGTCTTCTATTTTTGAGCACCATAAAACTCCAAAGAGTGTCTCTCTCTCTCCCTCTCCCCCTTCCCCATTCCCCTCTCCCTCATCTCTCAGAGCTCTTTTATTCATGCCTGTCTATCAGGCCATCTTGGTTCCACCTTTAACCAATGTGTTTCATCTTCCCAGAAAGAGAAGTGCCTCTTTCTCTCTGATTAATTTTCTCCCAAGAAGGGCAGCTTTTGTCCCTTCCTCAGAGAGAATAGGAGCAGAATGATTTCAATCAAGGAAAAGGCTAGGAGATGGTTAGGAAACCACCCTTCCCCAGATGAACGTTTATCTCACTGTAATTCATCGTTATTTCTGCCAATAATGTTTCTGCTAATAATGTTTCTGCTACTGTTTGAGCACCTATTTTGTTTTCTTTCTCAACTAGTTCATAAACCAGAAGGTTATTATTGGGCCCCTCAAACCCCAACAAAGACCAACTGGAATTCTCGCAGGAAGTCTCCAGAACATCAGCTCAATGGCTGTGCTCTCTCCCTTTGCTGGTGGGAGAGTCACGAGATAGAACTGAACAGGATGGCCACACCTCGGTGCAGCCTCACATGGTCTCCTCCACCTGTGACTCCTCACGGCACTGGCAGGTCTGCAGAGTAATCCAACCAAAGGCCCAGTTCCCCACGAAGGAAGGACACTGCTTTCTTGATGTCTGAGCTAAGGGCTGGTGGGGGCCTCTGCAGCAGATGTCTCATCGGACTGGAGAAAGTGCCTCTCCCTCTGCTTTCCCCTCCTTCCCTCCAGCCCCCAAATCTCTCTCTGTTGCACTGATTCAGAGTGACACCCAGGACTACTTAGGGAGAACAAGCAAATATAGACAAGAAAATAACCCTGGAAGCTGTCCTTGCAATGTCACATGATCCCCAGTTTCATTCATCAGACATACAATTTCCACCTCCCTGCAGGGGCTTTCTGGACCTTACAAACATGCATCACCACATGTGCCATAGAACGGCAGCTTTGATGAATCCCCAGAATTTACCCCCGAGATTAAAAAACCATGGCTGACTAACAGCTCCCCATATTCCCGTGAGCTCATGATGACCACTTTCAGGGATGTCAACCAACCTAGGTGCTGGCACAGGGTCCAACTTACAGCTTTTTGAGTGTTAAAACAATCTGAAATCTTCTTCGATTCACTTGGTTCCTCAGGAAATCCAATAGACCACCAGGTCTTGCTGCAATGTCTCTTGGGACTCTCTCCTTTCAATTTCTCTCACTCCTATTCTATTTCAGGTCCTTGGCTTTTCTTGTCTGGAGGGCAGAAATTACTAACTGCTCTCCCCCTGACCAACGTCTCCATCCTCAGGCACAGCTGACATGATGATCACTGTGAAATGTCCAGCCAACTACCTGATTCCCTTTCAAATGGGAAAGCTTGGCACAGGGGTAAGATCATGTGGGCTAACCATGATCACGTCGGGTAACCCAGAGCTCAAGCCCTGACCCTGCTGTTCAGTGACAGCCCAAGTTCTTTTTTTTTTTTTTAAGACAGAGCCTCAAGCTGTCACCCTGGGTAGAGTGCTGTGTCGTCACAGCTCACAGCAACCTCCAATTCCTGGCCTCAAGCAATTCTCCTGCCTCCTCTTCCCAAGTAGCTGGGACTACAGACTCCCAGCACAACACCCAGCCATTTTTTTGTTGCAGTTGTTTAGCTGGCCTGGGCTGGGTTTGAACCCACCACCCTTGTATGTGGTTGGCACTGTAACCACTGTGCTAAGTGCACCAAGCCAGCCCAAGTTTTTTAATCACTCCAGCTTGCCCCTTCCTCTTCCCATGCTGGGAGTAATAGTAGTGTCTACCTCAAAGAGTTTGGAAGGACTGAGTAGGGTAATCCAGGTAAACCTCTTAGCACCATGTTTAGGCATGCATTGAGTCTCAATGGATGTTTATCATCATCGTAAGTGCCCAGCACTTGAGGCCCTGCAAATTTGGGTCACAGAAGACCTTTCCATTCCCACCTCCTACCCATCCAAACAGCGAACATGACTCCTCCATCCAAAAGTTCCACCCCATGATCTCCAGGACCTTCTGTGCTCCAGCCCCCCTGCAGGAATGTTGGAACTTTGTGGTTACCTCTAGTACACTTGTCTCCAAAATGGCAAGAAAATAATGAGAATTTCATGTATTTCCAACAAATACTTCCATTGGGAGACAATATGCTAAAATTTCCCACATAGATGATATGTTTCTTTCAGAAACAAGTACAATGTTTTGATGTCTAATCATCTTTAAGAATAAGGACCATGTTTCCAAACTGAAATAAAGTAACTCCTTGAAGCCCTCACATGTACACTTCTCTGACTCACCAGAAGGGGGAGCGCCTGCATAAAGCAGGGCGCTCAAGGACTCCCTCACATGGGGACGGTTATCTGTTCCTGAAGTCATAATCCAGGGACCACTGTGTTCTTTATGATTACCAGAGGCCCAGACAACGAATGAATCTCGGCACTTTCAGTTCTTCATCCACACTTGTCATAAGACTGCCATACTTGCTATTATTACCAAAAAGAATTCTTTTGCAGTTTGCACAGTATCTAACTTCTGCTTACAGAGTAGAATGCCTGAGTTACCTGAATTCCAAATGCTCAATGATTCCCACATATGCTTCATTTTATTGCTTAGGCAGCATGGAGGCATCACGTGGTGCTTAGGAGCACAGACTAGACCAAGGTCACACCTTGATTTCAAACCCTGGCTTTGACCACTATTACCTGTGTGACCTTGGGTGAGTTGCTTAACTACTCTGTGCCTCAGTTCCCTCATCTGCAATAAAGGAATCATCAACAACCTGTCTCCTAGGTTGCTATCAAGATTAAAATAGTCAATATGTTCAGAGTGCTTAGAGCAGTGTCTGGTACTCTATGTGAATATTGTATGCAGTGCTGCCAGTCCTACCACCACTACTCTGTGGTTGTCGTCCTAAAGCATCATAGATGAGAAAGAAGACACTAAATCTGCTATCTTGAGAGCAGCTCAGCACAGGAACCTTGTCAGTGGAGTCTACTCTACTCAGAGTCAACGCTCCCAGCAATGGGCACAGCAAGGAAAAGACAATGAAAGATTCAAATTAGAAAGGGTTACTTATTTACTCTAGATTTCACTTTCAGAAACTCGGGTTGGATATCCAGTTCTCCCAGCGCCATTTATTGAATAGGAATTATTTCCCCCAGTGTATGTTCTTGTTTAGTTTATCAAAGATTAGGTGGCTGTAAGATGTTTGTTTCACTTCCTAGTTTTCTATTTGGTTCCAAATGTCTGGATATCCACATGTAAAAGACTGAAACTGGACCCGCACCTTTCTCCACTCACAAAAATTGATTCCTGATGGATAAAAGACCTTACTCTAAGGCATGAAACAATTAAAATCCTCAAAGAAAGTATGGGGAAAACACTAGATGCTATCGGCCTGGGGAAGGACTTTATGAGAAAGACTTCCACAGCAATTGCAACAACAACAAAAATAAAGAAATGGGACTTAATGAAACTGAAAAGCTTCTGTACAGCTAAGGAGACGACAACCAAAGCAAACAGACATCCTACACAATGGGAAAGGATATTTGCATATTTTGATTCAGACAAAAGCTTGATAACTAGGATCTACAGAGAACTGAAATTAATAAACATAAAAAGAGCCAACAATTCCGTAGATCACTGGGCAAGAGAGATGAATAGAACCTTCTCTAAAGAAGACAGACGAAGGGCTAATAAACATATGAAAAAATGGTCATCAGCCCTAATTATTAGAGAAATGCAAATCAAAACCACCCTGAGATATCATCTAACCCCAGTGAAAATGGCCCACATCACAAACTCAAAACTGCAGACTCTGGCGTGGTTGTGGAGAGAAGGGAACACTTTTATGCTGCTGGTGGGACTGCAAACTAATACAACCTTTTTGGAAGGCAGTTTACAGAACCCTTAAAGAACTCAAGCTAGACCTCCCATTTGATCCTGCAATCCCATTGCTGGGCATCTGCCCAGGAAAAAAAAAACTCCTTTTACCACAAGGACATTGGCACTAGGCTGTTTATTGCAGCTCAATTTACAATCACCAAAATGTGGAAACAGCCTAAATACCCAGCAACCCAGGAACAGATTAACAAGCTGTGGTATGTGCATACCATGGAATACTATTCAGCCACTATAAAAGATGGAGACTTTATATCCTTTATATTAACCTGGATGGATGTGGAGCACATTATTCTTAGTAAAGCATCACAAGAATGGAGAAATAAAAATCCTATGTACTCAATCCTGATAGGAGGACAATTAAGGTCGTAGTACACGATAGGGGGTGGGAGAAGGGGAGAGCTGAGAAAGGGAAGGGGGGGAGAGTCAGGCGGTGTGGTACACCTTTGGGGGCAGGGCACAAATATAAGAGGGTCCTTATCTAACAAAAGCAATCAATGTAACCTGGTTCTGTGTACCCGCAATGAATCCCCAACAATTAAAAAAAAAAGAAACTCAGGGTAGTTGGAAACCCATATGTGTAAGAAAATATATGGCTCTAATAACTACTGATGGTTCATAAACAGCCACCCCCGGGGACCCCACACTATTGATATTGTTACTGATGGAGGACGCCAGGGTGTCCTTGCCAATGCCCAGAAATACAGCTACCTGAAACAGCCTACTCATACATTACAACACGACTTACATGCTCCCTGAAGTGAGGATACTTTCTCCCCTTGATCATTATGGCAAATGTCTCCCCATTATTACCTGAGTTCGTTTTTGTGAATTTCCACTATTTTCCTTTCCAGTTTCTGTGACTGCTTCGGGAAAATCTCAAACTCACTGATGTAATTCTCGGGATGCTCATCAGGATCATAATCACCAAGCTCAGCTGTAACAAGGAAAAAATAAAGAGAAAGATTAAAAACAATAACATGAGCAGGGTGCATATGGAATCTCTCCTGCAATCAGAAAGAAGTTGGAATACGCTCAGCCAACAAAATGTATTTGTACCCATGGAAAGAATCAGCCTGCATGTCTAAAAGCTCACATTCCAGTTTAGATTTAGCTGGGTGAACTTGGGCACTGGAGAACCTTCTCTGGGTCTCACTTTCCCTTATAAAAAGGAGTTTAAAACGTTGTTTCTTAATGAGGCACTATTGACATCTTGGAGACTGAACAATTTTATTATTTATATATTTCCAAGGAGTTATTGGCCATTTGGTAACTCTACCCTTTGGACACTAAATGCTAGTAGTATATCCACACATCAGTCACCATGGCTGTCAAAACTGCCTTATCCCAGGAGTGTGTCAAAGGTTATAAAATTTCAGTTAGACAAAAGAAATGCATTCAAGAGATCTGCTGTAAAACATTAGAAACAATGTATTACCTACTTGACAATCCCTAAGAGGGTAGATTTGAAGCATGACCACCAAATCAAACAAAAAAATAAGTATGTATGATAAGGCATGTTGATCAGCTCGATGTAGCCATGCCACAACAGATACATGTCTCAAAACACCATGATTAAAAAATTTTCTAAAGTAAGAAAAAAATTTAATGCCCCCCAATATTTCCAGTCGACTGCTCCCCAGAACAGGATGGGGATGCCAACTCTAGTTGGAGACTAGTAGACGTTCATCAAGGTTCTTTTCCACAGCTGATACGTGCATAGCCTCTGAGCCCAGGAACTCCCTGGCTGCGGCTGCCTAATGTTTGTGCAAGTGTGGCTCATATGATGCCAAACCCGAAGGAATTACACTTAAAGACAAATGGATTCCTGTTCAACTTAAAGAGTATACAAGGGCTCTCTGGGAAGTATCCAGCCACCTACTATGAAAAATAGAGACGTGTGTGCCTGGTTACTTTCTGGACACCCCTCCTATATCTAAGTATGGAAGAGCCTAGTAAAGTAAGCTTGTGGCTGGATTCAACCATAGGGCACCTATAAAGGATCTTCGAGAATATAAATGATAAATGCCTACACATCTCAGCATCCAGAGGGCTGAGCAGAGGTGGTGTGTGGACCACATCCATCCCAGAGGAGCAACAGTGATACTGGCAGAGGTCACGCTTTCTCCTGATTCCATTGCTCCACAATGAGCTGGAAGCAAGTAACCCAGGAGGAAACAAAGGACACAGCCCAGAAGAGTAGACTGAACATGGTGGAAAAACTGTATTAGAAGAACCCAAAGTAAATAAAAATTTGTATGCTTGGAGTAGATGCAAATCAGTACTCCTGGAGCAGATAAAAATCTGCATGCCTGCAGCCAGGTGAAAAATCACATCCAGTTCTGTAATTTGTACTTACTGTCCCACCTCTGCGTGCTGACAAGATGAAAACCACCTCATGGCCGCAAGAGGACAAATCCAGAAAGAAAGCAAAGTTTTTTAAAGCTTCTCAGCAATATTCAAATTACAGAGTTCTTTAAAAAAAGAAAACTGTAGTTCAATATCCAGAAGGCAGACATCATTCCACTACATTAATAAGGAGGCAATTCACCCCAAGTCATTCTACAAAGCCAGTATCACCTTGATACCCAAGCCAGGAAGGGGTACAACAACAACAACAACAAAAGATGCCACAGGTCAAATTTAAAAGTTCTTAGAATGACCTAGGATGTATGCCACAGGAGGAAGAGCTTTTAAAATAAGACCCAAAATATTATCCATCATAAGGGAGAGTTGGTTAATTTGATCACATCGAAATTCAAATATTTTTGCTTCTTAAAGGACATCATAGTCAAAGTAACAGAAGACAAATGGAAAGAAGATTTTGAAAAATCTAAAGCTGACAAGGACTAATATCAAAAATAAAGAAGAAATTCCTGAACATCAATGGGCAGACGTCCAGCAGAGAAACAGTCAAAGGATATGAACAGACAATCCACAGAAGGAGAAACACAATAGGCTCAAACTCATCAGCAATCAGAGGCACGCAAACCAAAACAAGACATCACTTTAGAACTATAACATTGGCCCCAAACTAGGAAATTGGCAGAGACACCAGGAAATGGAAACACTTGTCTACTTCTGGGGGATCCCCCAGATACATGTTGTTCTTCTAGAGAGCAGGGTGGGAGTATTTAGTCAACTATTATGACCAGCACTCCCACTCCTGGGCATGTATCCTAAATAAACTCTGGGGGCCAAAAAGGGTACATCCAGAGTTGTTTAAATTTGTTTTTTGTTTTTATCATAGCTTTGATCACGATAATCAGAGTTGGAGGCAACTTGGGAGTTCATTGTTGGTGGGACAGAGAAGCAAATCATGAGAGTCACACCCCTAGGACACTCTGTAGCAGTTAAAAGCAACAAAATAGATGTGTACCCAGAAACGCAGATGTTAAAGGCAGTGTTCTGAGCCCAGGAAGGAATAAGACGCATTCTACAGCCCCATTTAACTTATGGAATTTAAAAGTATATACACACAAAACAATATTAATCATTTTATAATGATTTTACATTTCATATATATATAAAAACAGAGATATATAGGAACCCAGTTGTTGCCTTTAGGAATGGAAATAGAGAATAATGGAGAAAGAGAAATGAAATCAATCAATAGATGGGCCAAGGGGACCCATGCTGAGAGTGGGCCATGAACTGATGATGTTTTTCAGCCTAAGTTCAAAACAAACACACATAACACGCCTGGCTATAAACATACACACCACACACACACATAGGAGTGTGAGCTGGGTAGGGCCTGGAACTTAGGAGATATATCCTAATGCCCCATTTTTCATAGGTGATGAGATAATGGACCACAAATAGGAAAATGGATCAACTTCAATGCAAACATCACCTTGCAGTGTGATTGGGGAGGGAAGGTGATATCTATGAGGGGCACTTTTTGTTCAAAGAAAACTTTCAAGGTACAAGGGACTTGGACTGCTGAATACTACAGCTGAATAGTCTGGAAAATGCCAGGAACTTCAAGAAGAAAGGCCATGAAGACCACCTAGGGTTGCTGACAAGGTGAAAACCAATGCCACCCCCACCACAGGCCCTGCTCTCTCATCCCTGAGAGCTTGTCCTCAGCTCCGACCTCCCCCGTGAAGGGAGGGCAGTTTTTGAATGAAGAAGGACTTCTAGCTTTTCATACCAAGAGGAGCTGGGTGAGCAGTTGGGGTTCTCTCTCCCACACATGACTTTGAGAGTCAAGTTGTGACAAGTGACACACAACACACTGGATCGCCTGTGGTTTGAATCAGGCTCTAGTACTTTTCTGAAAGAATTCAATTCTAAGAAAAAAAGCCAAGGAGTTTGAAGCAATTGAGTAAGATCAGAGGTGAGAAGTCTTTAGGGTAGCAGGCTTACCCCTGGTTGGCAGAGGACTCATTCCAGAAGAGCTCCAGATAGGGAATGTCCCAGCACCAGAGTCAACTCCTGCAGGAGCCTTCCCTGACCCACCCTTGCTGGGTCACAGCAGAGACCAGACCTGTGTGTCCCTCTGTGTAGCCATTAATGCATCATCACACTGGCCTGTTTACTTGTCTGTCCCCCTTTGAGGACTTTGTATTGTAGCACTTACAGCTGCTCAGTAAATGTTTAGAGACCACATGAACAAATAAACGAATGAGGCTGTGAACACCATCCCAGCAGGCAACCACCCAATCTTTCCCAGGTGCAGCGGGAAAGCACACACTGGTGCAATTTCCTGATTCACTGAACACATCCTAGTGCAGAGCCAGACACAGGAAGACTGCAGTGAAAACAGCACCCGGGTCCTCCTCCCATGCAGTTAGACTCTTTGTAGGGGGAAACATATAATAAGCTCTCAAACAACACAGATAATTTCAGTTTTAAGTGCTCACAAGACTCCAAAACAAGATGAGAGAAAGAATGAGGTGCAGGAGGAAGGCTGTATCAGATACAGTACTTGGGGACAACCTGACATCTTCTCCAAGCAAGGGACATCCGAACTGAGTTCTGAATACCTAGCAGGAGTCAAGACTTCCACAGCAGCTAAATGCACCAGGGCTAGGAGGCACGTTCAATCCCCCCATGGTGCTGTTTTGTAAAAAAATAAAAAGGAAAGATATTTTCACCAAGAAAGAACATAAACAGACCCCAGGGATTTTGTGTGTTTATTTTGCAATCTGCATTATGAAAGAATGTACACTGCATGTATTAAATAGGCTCATGTGTTCAGCACATATGGGCAGCAAAATTCTGGAAGACTGGCTGTTTTTCGTATACTCAGAATCTACTGAAGCTTACAACATACTCCTTAGAAGAGTAGCTACAGATAAGACGTCACAGCCTCCAGGGTGCTAATCATCTCCTGCACTCTCCTCATTGCTCTGTGAGAATAAGCACTTCTGACAAAGCCCATCTCCATCTGCGTGTGTAAACGGCCTCCAGAGCTGCTGAAGACCTTACCCCCAGCATGAGAGAACATTAGGACCGATTCGCTACAAACAGCCACAGACAGGACTGCATTTCAGAGCCTAAAGGCCTGTCGGTGCGTTTCCAACACTACTTTCCCCACCGCGTCCGTGTGCAGGTGGTCAGTGATGATAGCAGGAGGGAAAATAGGGCCTTGATTATCTGGATGGAGGCTTTGTGGTTTTACATCAAACAGAAAACAGGATGGAGAGCTAGCCATTATAGATCTGTATGGAGCTTGTTCTTAAAGAGTTGATGATAATTCAGTAAAGCCTAAGTGCATTCTGAAATCATCATGTGCTTGGATTAGTATCGATTCCCTTTTCCCTCACCGGAGACAGGGCACCCTAACTGGGAGTGTGCAGCCTTTCCCGGGGAGGAAGAGAACTGTGGGAAGTAAAGGCCCTTCACGCTGAGCTTTCAGAAGTGCACGGCCCACCTCCCAGCACAAGGAAGGGCTATGATGGGAACATCACTGCATCACTGCAGTTCTACCGCTTTAAACTGAGCTATCCCCCAGGGTTTTAACGCCTCTGCCAAAATCTGCTACCAGCACTAGGTTGCCCCTAGAGAAGGAGGGAAAAAACAACACATACACCCACTTCGGAATTCGCAGACAGACCAAACACACCTGGGAATGGGGACGGAGGAACTATTTCATGGCACGAGGCATCCCACAGGGACAGAGTTGGGCCACGGAGAAATCCCCAGGAGAACCATAGGTTTCCCTAGCAGTGAATGAAGCTTAGTTCTGAGACAGGCTGATGACTGTCACCTATGAGTAGCTTATGGCCCTTCATCAGCTCCCTTCTTATTCCATCACAAGACTGTCATGCTCAGTCATCTCTCCCCCCCACCCCCTTTTCCTTCCCTCCGTCTCGCCCCTGCCCTCCCCTTCTCTCTCACAAACACATCTGTTAGCATTCTGGCTACAAAGGGCTAGATCATCTGCGTAAGGCCAGCTGCCTCCTGAATGGCCCAGGGACCAGAACACCTGCGCCATCTCCACCTGGGTGCTGAGACAAGCCCAGCCATGTGCTCCCTCAGGCTCCAGAGGCCTCCTTCCCTCAAACCACTTTCCTTACGAGGCAGAAACATCCAAAAGCCAGCCCAGGTCAACGTATTAGCTGGTTCCCACAATCCTCACCCCCGGGGACTTATTCCACCCTAAAAAGAACAACTGCACTCCGGCCTGGTGTGGCATGGCCTCTTGAAATCACATGGTCACGGAGAGAGGATGACCTCTCAATTTAATAGAAGAAACTGAAGCTTAAAGAGCATGAGTAATTTGCCTACCGTGAAATAGACAGGAAGTGGGAAGAGAGACTTGCCTTGAGGTCTGACCCATCACGGGCCTGCGGTTCTCACCACGTTGTCAGGGAGCTATGAAGACCCTAGCCCCAGTTTGGGCTTTCTCTGGGTGCTCCTAGCAAGCAGCCCCCAGAGTCCCAAAGCACTTTGACTCCACCGGCACAAAAAGGGGACCCCAAGGAACAGCAGCAGAGCCAGAGCAAAAAGACAACGTCAGGCAGCAGCGGTGGGGATCTAACAGGGAAGTTGAACTCCTTTAAGTGTATAAACACCTTTAAGTTTATAAGCAGATGGAACACACCTGAGAGGAAGGTGGGGGTCTCCTCCGCACAAATAAAGAGGGACCCCTTATAAATTTTTTCCCTTGTATTTATTCCCCAATTCCTAACTTTGCTCCACCCACTTGAAATGTTTATGCATTTCTTAACTCATGTTTATGCATTTCTTTCATGTAGGGTCTTGGTCAAGATGACTCCACACTATCCTTAACTGACTTCTCCTTTAGCAAGTCTCCAAGATAGGGCATTGATTAATCATAGAAGCTGACTAGTTTCTTCTTTAAAAAGTTCCTGTTGATCAAGCCATCTGTAGGGGTCTTAGGAGTTGAGCAGAGCCTGAATGTCAAACCTTTCTAACTACAATCTTGCCTAGTTCTGCTTTAGTAGTAGCCCAGAAGTAGTGGTCCATCTTCCCTACCCTGTTGGTGTCTAAGCTAAGGAACGGTTTCCTCTGTCTTAGCGATTGTCCCCCTTTTTTTCCTTTGGTCTCAGCAATTGTCTACTTTTCTTTTTCCTTCTTACTCTGTTCTCTATCTGTTCCTACCACTGTCATATGGCTAGAAAAGCTGAGGAATTTAGACACAATGACAAGCACACAGGTATGTACATACACACATGGAAAAATATGTACATATATACATGAAAATGCTTACAGGATGTCCCATTCATTGGACACCTACCCTCTTAGACAGAGCTCCTCCCCCACTATGCCCACCAGGCCCCACACCTAGCAAATGGAGCTCAGAACACATAGCATCCTGCATCCCTTTGGAGCTTCGTATTAAAGCCCTTTTGAAAGAGCCTCTCATTCTACCTTGGAGTCTTAGAGCAGCTTTTGTTTTTACAGAGGTTCCTGTAAATATCTCAGCATCCCCTCCCACCAGGACCCAGTTAGTATGGGAAAGAAAGTGTATAGGGGGGTCTGTTGCTAAGTACCCACCCCTGCCTGGCTCTTGCCACAGGCTCAGGCAGGACGGGTAGGGGAGGGAGGGGGGGAGGCTCTGAACAGCCAGAGCTCCTCAGGGCAGTGCCGGGGCTGGGTGAGCCGTAGCCAGACTTACCTTGAACGATACAGGCACCCAGGTAGGCAGCATCAGAAAAGGAGCACAGCAGCCGGCCATGAAAAATGTCTCTTTTAATTTGAAGGTACAACAGGTACCTGCAATACAAAAGGAGAAACAGTTGCGCTAAGTTTAGGCTGAAGACTGGAAGAAATAGACCTGCTTGTGCTTTGCCACCAGGGTCACGAGAGCCCTGCCCAGGTCCAGGGATTGGCTGAGACACACCAAGCCCTTCCTAGAGCAACCAGAGGAAAGCTGAGAGGGGCCCTCGGAATTCGTAAAATCTGAAGTGTCTGTGGGTGAGCAGGTCTTATCAGCTTCCAAAGCTGGGCGGGCTTGGCCTTTTCAAAGAGGCATGAGAACTGAAGAAAGCCATGGGGCAGGTGGCCACTGCTCCCGGCAGGAGCTCTCACAGGAGGACAACCCCAGTCACTGTCAGCACCACCTGTATCTCAGACACATGCTGCCCAAGTTCTGTTTGAGATGGAAATTCAGGAAACAAGTTTGATTGGTATTCCAAGACCAGCCCCATCATTTCTCAGGGGCAGTCAGACTCATGTTAATCTCAAAAAGCCATAGTGATTATGAGGCCAGAAAGGCAATCAACTCATAACCAGAGCTGTCGTCTGTGCAGGGCCCTTTCTCCTTTCCAGGCATGGCACATTCAGCTGCTGCCAAGGCCGAGCACACAGAGGCTATAATGTGCGTGAGTCACACGGGCTGGTGTAGGTGGTTGAGGAAGCAGAATGTAACGCAGAGTCTCCCTAGGAAGGGGTCGGCTGCCACCCAGTTCCAGCCCAGTGCTGGCATTAAAAAAGCAGACCAGATGCATCCACTCTCCCCCCAAAATGAAGAATTTACAAGTGAAACTCTGAATTTCACATTTCTACAAAAAGTTTGTAAAACCACTGTAGACCAAACAAACAAAGGCCAGCTCACAGCAGGGGTGCTGGGGTGGAGCATCGCGCAACCCCCGACTCAGGCCCACCTTGTCCCTGTCCCTTCTGTTGCCACATACCGATGGAGCTCTCTCTGATTCCCTCATCTTTCTCAGCCTTGTTAATTCTTTCATTCAAGGCTCAGGTAGGCAAGGGTCTATTGTTTCTGACCAAAGTAACTTTGCAGATGTGTATAGTTTGTTTCCATGCTTATTTGGGAGACCACTGCATTTTTTCTTCCCATATTCTTGGTGGTGCAGTGTGGTAATCTCTCAGTCAGTGATCATTAATTTTGTGTCACCTTGACTGAGCCATGGGATGCCCAGATAGCTGATTAAACATTATTTCCGGCTATCTGTGAGGGTGTGTCTGGAAGAGATTAGCATTTGAACTGGTGAGCTGAGTAAAGCCGATGGCCCTCCCCACTGAAGTGCACACAACAGAAGAGGAAGGCCCAATTCACTCTGTCTCACTGCTTGGGCCAGGACATCAGACTTCTGTCCTTAGCACTCCTGGTTCTCACACCTTCAGATGTGGATTAGAGCCCGCACCATTGGCTCTGCTCTGGGGCCTTTGGGCTACACCACCAGTTCTCCTGTGCCTCCAGCTCACAGACAGCAGACTGTGGAACATCTCAGTCTCCATCATCATGTGGGCCAATGCCTTATAACAAACTTTATTCTAGATATACCCTATACATGTGTGTGTATATCCACATATATATATTTATATATGTTTATATATTCTGTCTCTCTGGAGAATCTTGACTAGTACACACCTGCAGTGCCCAATTTGATCTTTACTCAGCCTTATGAGGAATAACATGTACAGTCCCCATTTTAAAGGCAAAGACATCGGGAATCAGAGATGGCAATTAACCTCTCCATCCCAGAGCACTATGTCTGGCCTCTGGTTCACTGAAAGCACACTGGATGCCCTGAAGGGCTCAGTGGCTCACAGATGTTTTCATTCACTGAATCTTTATCTCACCTGTTTTATGATGGGCACTGTGCTGGGTGCTTGGGACATGGCTGAGGCTACTTGACACTCTGTACCCAACTTAGTATGGAATTGTATTCATGTGATAAAAGCAGCCCAGATAAATTTAATATTCAGAGTTTGGTGCATTTTGTCAAAGAAACAATATTACACTGGGTAGGTAAGAATAAGACTACTGCCCTAAACTAGTGCTTCTAACACTTTGATGCACAAATGAAATACCTGGAGATCTTGCAAAATATAAATTCAGAAGGTCTGTAGTGAGCATCAGATAGCAGACTTCTAACAAGCTCCCACATGACACTGTGCCATAGGTCCACAGACCATAATTTGCTTAATAAGGTTCTAAAACAGTAGTTCTCAACACTAACTGTATATTATAATCATCTGTGGGAGCTTTTAACAAACACCAGTGCTGTGGGGCTATGGATCCTACCCTAGAGCCAACTAAATCAGAATCTTGGTCCTCACCAAAACTCATATATGAATATTCATGTAGCATTATTCATTAAGCTGAAAAGTGAAAATAACCCAAATGTCTACCCACTGATGAATACATAGTAGACATGTTGGTACATCCATATGATGGAATATTATTAGTACATCCATATGGTAGAAATGTGGTACATCCCTACGATGGAATATTATTCAACCCTAAAAAAGGATCAAGTACTGAAAGTGCTGCAATAGGGATGAAACTTGAAAAAATTATGCTAAGTGAAAGAAGCCAGACCCAGTAGGCCACACAGGATTCCATTCACATGAAATGTCCAGAGCAAACAAATCTATAATGATAGAAAACAGGGTTAGTGGTTGCCAGGAAGTAGGGGGAGGGGAAGACAGAGGATGACTGCTTGGGTCAGTTTCCTACTGGGGTGATAAAAATGTTTTGGAATTATATCATGGTGGTGGTGACACAACTGTGAACATACTAAAACCAGAATCTGAATTGTACATTGTAATTATCTGCCAAAAGAAACTAATATTTTTGAAAGTCTAAATTGTCTTACAGTAATGGTTCTCATGTTTTTACTGCTATAGAATTACCTGGAGTGCTTATGAAAATACAGATTCCTGGGCCCTGTAGAGGCAACTGAGCCCTGATCTTCAGCATAGGACTCACTTCCTGCTTGAGAGACCTAGAGAATCATGAGAATGGCATGGAGTTGTGTGTGTGCAGGGGATCAGAAAACTGGCCTCCAGGGGAGAATGCATATGTGAGGTGTGGCAATACCAGGGCTCATGGTTATGGTAAAGATTCTCTAGATTCTAAAGGTCTCTTGATGCTAGAGGCAGAAGGGTCTTGCTTAAGGTCTGAGATTTTGCAAAACAAATTGTAGACATTCTTTCTGACACTCTCCATATTCTTCCTTTTTTAACGCTGATGTCTGATAAGTAACTTTTAACTACTTCTTCCTGCTTTGTGATAATAAATTCAGACCCAAGATTTACTCAGGAGGGTTCCTCCCAGAGTTCTTCTGACTTCCGGCACAGACTATGTGTCAAGCCTCTTCATTCCTCATGCCAAGACACCCTCTTTGGGTGACTTCAAACCCCTTCAAAGGCCCCAGCTCCAGAGTGTCTGATTCAGTAGATCCTGGGCAGGCACCAAGAATCTGCATTTATAACAGTTCCCAGGTAATCCTGGTGCTGGTTCACAGACCACCTTGAGGACCTTGGCTGTAAACCATTCAGAATACCAAAGGTCAAGAATACTTGACATGATTAAATATTTGCCTTTTTACTGTCAACTACCAGGCCAAATACCATGAGATTTATTTTTCATGTGTTGAATATATGCATTGAACACACTAGCATTTGCCTCCTCTTCTTGATGAATTTGGGAGTGAAAAATAGTTTCAAGTAACAATTTACTGATGAATGAGAGGTTTGGATTCTAATCCCATAACTCAGAAATCAGTTTGTTGAAAGCTCCCTAGGAAAAGAAAAGCTGCTTTCATATCAAATCTCTGGAGATAATCAAGGATTACTGTAGATTCAACATAATCCACTGAGCCTTACAAATGGCTGCAGGATCAGGATGCCCATTTTTTAATACAATAGCCACCAAGAATAAAATGTATCTTTCTTTACTATCACTCCTGCATGAAAAGATTAAGCAACAAAAACATAAGAGGATCTGGGGCATAAAGTATTGAGCCATTGTGTATTTAAAGATGTTCCTTACTAAAAATAAATAAATAAGGAAAACTAAGGTACTTTTGGTTACATTCAATTGTATGCATTTGCATAAGCCCCAGAACCTAACGAATTATAAGATGATGGCTTAAGTGGAGAAGAGAAGGAACAGTGGAAAATGACTTCCAATATACTTTTTCGTAGGTATTTTTGTTGTTTTGTCCTTTTGCTTCTGGCTTTCTCTTAACATTTCTTTACTCCCAGGCTTAGCCATGAATATAATCTGAAATTTACATGTAGTAAATTCTTCTCAAGATTTAGATTAGTCTTACAATAAAATAACTTATCATACAAGAAAAACTAAATGGGCTCGGCACCTATAGCTCAACCAGCTAAGGCGCCAGCCACATACACCTAGGGTGGCAGGTTCGAATCCCCAGCCCGGACCCACCAAACAATAATGACGGTTGCAACCAAAAAATAGCCGGGCGTTGTGGCGGGCGCCTGTGGTCCCAGCTACTTGGGAGGCGGAGGCAGGAGACTCGCTTGAGCCCAGGAGTTGGAGGTTGCTGTGAGCTGTAATGCCACGGCACTCTGCCCAGGGGGACAGCTTGAGGCTCTGTCTCAAAAAAAAAAAAAAAAAAAAAAAACTAAATGCCTTCAAGATGAGAATGTAAACCAGAAGGACCTGGGCATTCCACAGTTACCAAATTAGTTTAGAATTCTGAGGATGATGTTGACCAAGAAAAATCCATTTCCACCTATGCAAAGGCAGTGGATCATCTTAATTTTCCTTTGGAAACATCAGATGTGTTCATGATATCCCACTGTTCATCGTGAACTATTCAGTCAAAGGTAGAAAAACACTAACATATTTGAGAAGGGTTAAAAAAAAAAAACTCTTTATTATTTTATTCTCAAATGGGACTTTTCTTGACAACATCAGATTATTGATCTCAATATGTATTGTGACACATATTCAATTTTTATCCTCCGGACAAGATTATAAAGAAAACAAATGACAAAAGTGAGGCATTGGGATTTGATTTGATCTTCCCAATTATACTATTAACACCCTGAAGGTAGGAAAATCAATCAATCTCTCTCTCTCTCATAGCTAATTCAGCCTGGATTAACTCACCCCTGGATGTATAACAGCAAGTGGAGAAGAATGAGGAAGAAATTATCAAATAAATAAAGTTCTCAAGCCAAACTCAGGCCAAAGCTATCTGCTGTGTGATTCTATTTGCATAAAATGCCTAGAATACAAAAATATACAGAAAAAAATAGATTTGTGGCAGCTAGGGCCTGGGGAAGGGGAGAGTGGGTAGTGCTGTAATGGGTATAAGGTTTCTTTGGGGGGGGTGATGAAAATGTTCTAGAACGAGATAGTTGTAATGGCTGCCCAATACTGTGAATGATACTGAACTATACAATTTAAAAATGTTCAATTAATTTGTGTCTGGGAATTTTGCCTTGATAAAAAGGAAAAAGCAGACGAGTTTGCAAAATTCCAACCACCACTTATGATGTCCATTATCTGTTATCCTTTCTCTCCACACACATATTCATTCTCTCTCTCTCTCTTTCCCCATCCCCACAGCTCCCGCAAAAACCTCACTAAGGATGGACTTGGGGCTGTGCTAGCTATGAATTTGCCCATGGCCTGAAGACAGCCATCTTCTATTTATTTTTAGCAGTTCACTGTTAGATGTGTTCAGAGAGCAGCTCCCCCTCATCACCGCTGCTTTTTTGCATAATTATACTCCCAGTGACAATTGTTTGAAAAAAATCCCAAGACAATTAAGTGTAAGAGAAGCATTCCAAGCCCAAAGGCAGAGTTCAGTGCCTGGGCTGCTCAGATGATCTGCTCTAGACTCGGGGGCCCTGGCTGGTCAGAGGGGCACGTTAAACATACAAACAAACGGAAAATACCTTGTGAGCTCTTCTTTAATCTTCAGGGGTTCGTGTGGGTAGAATTTCACTCTAAAGCACATGGTGTATGGTGGATGAGCTGAAACATCATAAAGAAAAAGCATGAGAAAAGCCGCAAAGACCATGGACTCAAACACACACAGGGAAGGCAGCGGGGAAGCCTTGTGGATTAGCTGAGGATGTGGGGACCAGGGAGAGGCTGACTTTTTTTTTTCCTGAAAGAAGCAGCTATGATGCCCAGGAAAACAAAGCGACAGCAACAACAAAACTCAAAGGAAATACTTGACGGGACATCCAGAGCAAATGGGAAATGCAGGCAACCTAGCCCAGCAGCACAGCTTTTCACACCCCGGCTTGCCCTCAGTCCTTCATCCTCTCCGAGTCACACATCCAAAGAACGTTTAATGTTTTCTTTTCTGATTCTTCCCACCCCCTCGCGACAGACAAATTGCCCATCAGCATCCTTCAGGTTTGGGGGGGCTCATGAAAGATATTTTAACCTGTGAGGTGGAAAAGAAGTCTCTGTACACAACTAGTTTTCCCCCAATCATGGTGCCTCCAAAATAAGATTGAGTTTTAAAAAATGAAGTCTGCCACGCCCAGATCCCACTTTGTACATTTTTAGGATTATCTATCTACAAGTCACCTGCATGAAAATAAACACTTTTACGGCTTCCTGGCTTGTCTGAACCAAGGTAGCTTGGTGGAGACTGCAGTTCTGGTTGAGGTTCATGATTCTGGAGTGTTCTAATTACATCAAACATCCAGAACTCAGTGACCAGCCAATGGGATTCTACAGGATTTCCAACACCTTCAATTATAAAACCACTATTGACTTGCAATATTACCCTAATAAATGCTGCAAGATACATTCATATTTTAGTTAACCTATAAAGGAACATTTTAATATCAAGGAAATAGGATGATCAGTAGTCCTACTTCCATGGAGCTGACATACCTACTCATCTGCTTCTGTATCAGCTCTGAATCTGCATCCACATCTGAATATGAAATAGCATCACATTCTCTCCAAAGTCCTCTTTCAAGGTAAGCAAAGATAAATTGTCATCCAACTCTACACTGCCTGGGTTATTCTAGATGTAGACAAATTCTTTATACAGAAAGAACCATCAGCACCCAACATGAATGTATGATGAGGATAATTTGATATGGAAAACAATTACTTAAAATAATTTGATAGAAAGCATCCAAATCACATATATAAAAAAAAAATGGCAGCATCTTGCTGACAATCTCAGCAGAAAAACCTGATCATACACACACACACACACACACACACACTTTCCATTCAGTGTCCTACTTCTCTACCAGGAACTAGGGAATTCCTTAACTGAGTTGGGTACTCCTAATTTGACCCTGTGTTCTCTGGTTATAAGAAAGGAACATTTTTTTCTAGAGTACTAGGAGAAAATGGATACCTTCAGTATAGCAAAAAAGAAAATCCCACATAGAAAAACACAAATGATCAAGTTGTTCATCTTTCATGATATCTAGAAAATCAGGTACATCAAAATATTTTATCTTTAAACATTCCCCGAATTTCTTTTTGTTTAAAGCCCTACCTTTAAGCTGTTAAACCTAGTGTCTTTGTATTTTATTATTAAACCTCTGAATGTCTTTAATAGGAAGGTTGAAACAGTTCTTACAAGACAGTAACAACAAAGCCAACAATGGAATTAATGTGTAAGACAGAAGGAATTTTTTTCTTTCTTTATCTTTTATTAAAGTCCTCTAAATTAATGCACGTATAAGCACAAGCTATGAAGCTACCTGACAGATAGATACATACATAGAAGAATAGGTAGATGATATATAGTTACATAAATACATAGACAGATGATGGCTGGAAGACAGCATGGACAGACAGACAGAGGGACCATGCCCTTTCGCTCTCCTTCCCTTTGTCTCTGTTCCTGCCCCATCTGTTTCTCGGGCTTCTACTCCAGTCCGCCCCAAACCCTCCAATCCATATCAAAAACATCATCTACACTCTTCCATCCCTTTTGCCATCCTCACACAAATATATGCCAACATGATTATATGTGGAGGGATTTCTAATCTATTCTAGCAAAATGGCATCATACCACACACGTCTGTCTTGCTTTTCTCACTTGGCTCCTTGTCTCACCCATCCCTCTAGAACAGCAGACGGATCTAACTCATTGTCTCTAATAACTACATAATAGTTCACATTATGAAATGCCAGGATTTACTCAGCTTTTCCTTTTAGTTGTCACTCAGGTTGTTTCCACTTTTTGTAATTCAAACATGCTATTCTATAATTTATACAAACACAAACACGCACACATACATCCTTGTTCACAGGTGACTAAGGGCATGTATTTTAATTCTATGATATAGACTCTCAGACATTGAATTGTTGGATCAACAAGTATGGAAGAATGTTTTAAAAGGAGCAGAAAAATAAAGCCAGTTGACTGGAGGTGAACTGGGGAAAGGAGGATCCCAGAAGATGACTCCAAACTAAAGCTGTCCCTTCTCTGCTATCTGTGCAGCCTATCAGCTTACCACGCCCCAAGATGGCTTTCATCGGCGTCTGAGCTCATCATACATGAAGCAGACTTGCCCTTATCCTAAGGGATCAGGTAATACGGATCAGGCTCAGGACAGTCCCCAGGTAGCCCTCTTTGAATACTTCTGCAGGTAGGAAGTTTTTCCACCTGAGCATCCTCACTCCAAGTTCCAGAAAGGTTTAGTGTCTCCCAACATGGGCAGCCCTTCTGTCATCTGACTCCTGGTCCTTCTGAGTCTTCTCAAAAATAAGCATCCCCAGCTCTTTTAATGCCTCCTCTTTCGAAGAGTTTTGAGAGCCCTCCCCCCTACCCTGCACCTCCACCCTGAATGCACTCCTATCTGCCCTGTGTATCCTCATGCCTGGGTCCCAGAGCCACTGGCCTCATTCTGGGCATAGCCATTGTCCCCTTTCAACAGCCTCCACTCAGTGTTGATTCACTCTGAGTTTGTATCAGACTCAAACTCTCAATCCTTTTCATGTATGCTAGCAAAGTCACACAGAAACAGCCACTGAGTTCATGATAGCTCCTTCCATTTGCTGGGTGTGATCGCAGGAGAAATTATCACAAGATGAGTGATACACTCATGAATAAGCTCATTGAAGATGGGACAAGAGTTGGCTGCAGGAAAAACAGAAGGAGCCCTCTTTCAGCCCAACATTTCCTATCTACATTTTTCGGCCATCATACCCTCTATGGCATTTTTCTGTCATATCTACCCAGTGTCATTGGCCCATGCCACCAATAAAAGAAGCAAAGATTTTCTGTAAGTTAAAAGGAACACTCAGCTCGGCGCCTATAGCTCAACCGGCTAAGGCGCCAGCCACGTACACCTAAGGTGGCAGGTTCGAATCCCCAGCCCGGACCCGCCAAACAACGATGGCTGCAACCAAAAAATAGCTGGGCGTTGTGGCAGGCACCTGTGGTCCCAGCTACTTGGGAGGCAGAGGCAGGAGACTCGCTTGAGCCCAGGAGTTGGAGGTTGCTGTGAGCTGTAATGCCACGGCACTCTGCCCAGGGGGACAGCTTGAGGCTCTGTCTCAAAAAAAAAAAAAAAGGAACACTCACTTCTGGGACAGTGATCCAGGAGTAACCCCAGGCACCTGGGTTATTAAGAAGCTCAACTCAATCTCACCACCCAGGCCTGGGGAGGCCACTGTGGCAGGTGCCTTCTGCCTGAAGAACTCACTTAAGGTTCTAGATGCAAAATTACATTATTAAAAAAGTGGGAAAGGTAAGGAATGCTTCATCACAGGGTTGGAGCAAGGTGAAAAGATAAATAATTTCCCCAAAAATGTTAATCTACTATAGTTTTGAATGATAAGATTCATAAAGGTATGAACTTGTCTGTCTTGTTCAGCTAATTATTGATAAAAGATTGACTCTCTGCCTGTCTGGCTGAATGAATTAATGAATAATAAACTCCAATTTTTGAAGCAAACGTCAGGCCCTGCCATCACATTCATCCCTTGGTCCCTCTGGCAGACTCCAAACACTCATCTAGAAAGTCCACAGTCTGGGCCACGATAGCAGTTCCTAGGATTTACATTTTGATTTACATTTATAGCCTCTAGGTGTCTATCTCAGCTTCTGTTCTTCCCCCCTCAACATCTGGAACAAATTTGGGGACTCTGGAGTCAGTCATAGTAGCTACTTCTAGGGGGAGGATTAATAAATTCAATCAACAAATATCTATTGAGCACCTTAATAGGTACCAGACATAATTTAAAATGTGCAAACAGCAGCAGCTGTGAACAGGCAAAAGCTCTGTCTTCAGGGAGGACACATTCTTGTAGGGGAAACAGGTATAAAACCAAAATAAGTAACTGAAACATATAGGACATTTGAAGGTACATGCTGTAGAAAAGAATAAGGCAGAGAGAGTTAAGGGGTGAGAGAAGACCCCCACCCCCTCTCTCCCTTCTCAGCCCCTCCCTAATCAGATCCATGAGGGTAAGAGCAATTATTTCTACTACCTTCTACAAAACCAAACACAACCATTTATAATTTTAGATGGCAGATGATCTTTAAGCCCCAGAGTGGTGGCACTGGTCTGGGGTCAGTTGCTCAGCTGTTGAGCACCATATGCACACACACACCAGCTGTGCAACTGCTAGAAAAAGGAGCCTCCCTAGGTTCAGCCTGGCCCCTGCCATGCTCCCTGGGACATGTCCAGGGTCCTGAATCTGCTTGTAGAGAGCCAACTATACCCCCTTCTCCAAGCTGCCAAGTGCCTCTGCTCAATCCAGTTTCTTTGTTATCTTTGCCTTAAGCTACAGAGAGGAAGGGAAGGGAAGACTATCCATGCCATACATTTGGTGCAGACTCCTTCCTCATGAAAGAGCTATCTGTGGACTATTAAAACCCACAACCTTAACTGGGGCCCTATCCTCACTGCAGCATCATGAACAGCCTCTGTGCATCTTCGTCAGGCTGGGCAGCATGGACACTCATGGGAGAAGAGGTCACGTCCCTCTCTGCATGGTCTTCAGCTTCAGCAACGACTAGGGCACACAGGATGGGG